GCACTTCCAACCTCTGTGTCACAGTCTGGGCTGGGTGCCACCTTTGCAGGTCTCTTTCATAGATATTATCATGCTGTATTGCTGTTGCCTTTTTTTGTCTAATATTTTGTTATAAAAATTTTCAAACATACACAAAAGTTGACAGAATTATATAGCAAACCCACTACCCACCATCTAGATTCCACAATTAACATTTGATCTATAATATTTGACATATTTGCTATATCATAATATTCATCCATCTACCCATCCCTCTATGCACCTTCTGTTTATATAATGCATTTCAAAGTTGCAGACACCAGTACACTTGCTCCCAAACACTTCAGCATGATCTTACTAGCTAGAGTGGGATATTTGACTACTTAAAAATATTTTTGGTAAAATTTGTCATTGCCTTTTTCTTACCTATCTCTACCACTAGGCCGAGGTGACTGTGTCATTTGTTTTCTACCCAAAAACAAATAAGACACAGTATGCCTCACACATAGTAGGAACAAGGTTAACGTTTCTTAAATGAATACGTTTCAGATTTCATCAGATGTTAATTTCTTGATTCATATAACAAAGTAATTTTTTCACCCCTTTGATTCATCTTCTTACCTCCCTACCCAGAAAATTTGTAGACAGCAACTTTCATTCTACCTATTCAGCATCATAGGGAATTAAGAATTTTAATCTGTTAATGATAGTAGACAAACTCTCTCATGGTGTCTTTCTACAAAGCCCCACAAGGTGGTGCCCAAATATCTTTTTTTCAAACAGTAGTCCCTCAAGACCCATGGTCAGTCCTCACTAATTTCTGTTAATATTTGGCATTTCTGAATTTGGTTAATTAGTGTAATGGAATATTATACATATAAATATAAGTAAGAAAAATTACTTACATAAATAAAATTATACATGTGTATTTCCGAATCTATGGCTCTGGATATAAACAATGAATAATGATATTAGGTACCTTATATTTGAGTTGTATATCATTAAAATGTTTTTCACATCCAAAATAGTAAAATATGAATTCATCTCAAGTCCTATTTACTGTAAACTTTGTCCATGAAAAATTTACCCTTAGTACAGAATTTAAAAGGACAGAGGAAAAAACAAACTATTGTTTAGGAGGAACTATGTAATTTAGATGTAACTCAAAAAATGATGACTCTGTTACCTCAACTGGGGACAATGTTGTGTGAACCAGAGTTGTAAAGGGTTGACATAATGTGGGATAATAAGTTACTTAATGTTCTTAAAACACTTTAGTTCCAGGAATTTGATTGATTTATGTAAAAACTTTCCTTGTTGAATATTCTTATTAAATCCCAAATGGACTGACCAGAAAACTCAAATGGATGTTGAGTTTCTGCAATTTTTTATTCATGCAAATGATGATATCTAACCATATTACTAGCTGTATTTTCATCAGGTATCAATAACATGCACAGTAACCACAGTTTACTCAAATCAGTGTAACAACAATCCCAGGCTACTTTGGCAAAACTGCCCAAACCTAAAGGAGAAAGTTCTTCAACTCGGGGCTCTCATAAATGGTGTTCATTGCCTTTGATGGCCCAGGCATTAAGATTTACACAGTGAGAGATGAGACTCATTATGTCCTGGAATTTAGCCCATGATAATTTGTCTTGAGCCATTTGCTACTAAGGGAAAATTCCTATTTTTCAAACATAAATTGTTGGCCATATAACAGGCTCCTTTTTCTCCTGCTCTGGCACAAGCCTGGATGGTACCAAGGCCTAGAAACCTCCTGGGGTATTTAGGGATAATGAAAGATGACCAGCTGATGTACAAAGATCTAAACTTTGTTCCCTCACTATCTCACAGGATGATCTTTGGGTGGGTCTCAACACCTGCCCTCTATTTTATCACCTATGAAGTGGAAGAATCAAGTAAAAGGTGGTCTCTAAGTTTCCTTCCAGTTCTGAGATTTGATGCTACTATTTGTCCCCAATAAAAGAAAAGTCTAAATACCATCTAGTGGGAAATGGAAGAATTCACCAAGATACAATACAACACTTTCTAATACCTGAAAATAAAATCAACTAAATGAAAAATAGAAAATATTTTCCCCATTAAAAGCAGAGTTTGGTCAAGGCTTAATAAATAGATCAGGGGTCCCCAACCCCTGGGCCACACAGCAGGAGGTGAGCAGCAGTCAAGTGAGTGAAGCTTCATCTGCCGCTCCCCATCTCTCACATTATAGGCTGAACCATTCTCCCCCCCACTGCCCCATGGAAAATTCGTCTTCCACGAAACCTGTCCCTGGTGCCAAAAAGGTTGGGGACTGCTGAAATAGATCCTATCGTTTATTTTTGGGGGGATTCTGAATGAAAATGTTAAGACTTCTTTATTCACTGAAGGGAATAATTTTTTTAAAAGTTGGACAGTCAAACCTATGATAGAGCAAGATCTGTCTACTTTCAGATATTTCTTAGAAAGGAAAATTGTAAAGATTTCCAGATAGCATCCTGATTTTTCGTCATAAAAAATCTGCTCTGGGCTTCCCTGGTGGCGCAGTGGTTGAGAGTCCGCCTGCCGATGCAGGGAACACGGGCTCGTGCCCGGGTTCGGGAAGATCCCACATGCGGCGGAGCGGCTGGGCCCGTGAGCCATGGCCGCTGAGCCTGCGCGTCCGGAGCCTATGCTCCGCAACGGGAGAGGCCACAACAGTGAGAGGACCGCGTAGAGCAAAAAAAAAAAAAATCTGCTCTTAGTAAAGAATAAACAAAACAGAAAGAGAAAATATAAATATTGAAGGAAAATTTTAGAGAAAGCTTGTAAAACCTCTCTTGTTCACAATTAAGTTAAAATTTTAGTCTGTTTTTTCCAGAACTTCTGAGAACTTCCTTACGTACGGGGTCAAAAAAGAGAGATGGTATATGTAATACTACAGATATGATATTACACCTTTTTCCCCTCTGAAAATGCAATAGCAGCTGTGTTTTGCTACAGAGCCTTATCCTTATACTAATCTTCAGTGTTAAAGTTATACAGCCCTCTGTATTCTTCTCCTTGGTTAGCAAGGGATTACTTGGAGAAACATATCCTCGTTGTGTTCTGCTTCCTCAGCACACTTCTTTTTCTTCTTCTTTTAATACCCAGCTATCTCCACATCTTAGCATACCTGGTCTGAAGAGCAGTTGACATTTGGTCAATTACATCTGAGGCACTTGCCAAGAGAGATGCTTGGCCATAGTGATACAAAGTCAGCTTAATAAAATTCCTGCTAGTTGATGCTATTCGAGGAGCAGACAATGGCATGGAGCCATCTACTGGTCCATCCCCAACCCAACAGCTTTGCTTCTCATTGGGGCTTCTCCATCTGGCATGCATGAAAGAAGTCAGTCACCCATCTCATTCCTCACTGCCTTTGCATATATTTCCACCCCCTATTCAGAGACTGGAAAAATCATGCTCACAATTTCCCAGTTACCATTCCATGAAGGAAAGGTGCCAAAGAAGGAAACTGTTATTCCTTTTCCAGAACTTCTGAAGTCAATATACTTTAAACAGGCAAGCATTTTCAAACCATGCAGAACATTGGTTCAAAATAAGCTTTCTTGTTTCCATTCTAGGGTATACTGAGCTAGCCACACAGGAGTCTTCTCTTGCCAGGGAAGCCTGTGGGTTTAAAAGGCATTTGGTACAGAGCTGGGCATACTGAGTGCTAAAGTTTGCTGAAGATTTAAATACAGGATTAGATTTTAAATTGTTAATCTACCCAGAAAAATAGTTTCACAGGGATGCTCAGAGGAGATTGTTTCCTGATTTCAAATTCTTTTTCTGTGCAGTAGTTCTTCCAGCTAACACTTAGAAAAACTGTTAGTTTTGCTCTCATAATCTATTTTTTTTTTGGCCTGGTTTTATTTTTTAAATTTTTTTAAACATCTTTATTGGAGTATAATTGCTTTACAATGGTGTGTTAGTTTCTGCTTTATAACAAAGTGAATTAGCCATACATATACATACATCCCTGTATCTCCTCCCTCTTGCGTCTCCCTCCCACCGTCCCTATCCCACCCCTCTAGGTGGTCACAAAGCACCGAGCTGATCTCCCTGTGCTATGCGGCTGCTTCCCACTAGCTATCTATTTTACATTTGGTAGTGTATATATGTCCATGCCACTCTCTCACTTTGTCCCAGCTTACCCTTTCCGCTCCCCATGTCCTCAAATCCATTCTCCAGTAGGTCTGTGTCTTTATTCCTGTCTTGCCCCTAGGTTCTTCATGACTGTTTTTAGTGTTTTTTTAGATTCCATATATATGTGTTAGCATACAGTAGTTATTTTTCTCTCTCTGACTTACTTCACTCTGTTTTCATACTCTTTTGATTGACTGGATATGCAGCTGTAGTACAGCTTGGAACTCTGGTGGAGTTGAAGTTAACAAAGTAAACGTAGAAAATGGGGTTCTATGGAAACAGAAGGGCCATTCAATTTTTGACTTGACCTCTGAACTCATTGAAATTGTGCATGTAATATTAAGATAGAAATGGTGGTGGTTCTCTACAACCCTGTAAAAATATTGGCATGGTCAGCAATTAGTTACAATGAAAACGAATGAAATACCCTTGCAGCAATCTGATACTACCTTGGAGAAGGTGGAAAAGTCAAACAGCCCCTGTGATCAAACCACAGTCATCATATAGAGCGGGACTGAAATGTTTTTAAATGGCTGTGTACCTCCAGCTCCCCATAATATAATAGGAAATTCAGACTACTTGGGTGTAATTCTTTGAATATACAAAAATATTCATTAATAGATGTTTGGTTGTGTTGCCGTGATCTATTTGGATTAGAAACTTTAAAAATCTCAATGTGGATAGTTTTTTATAAATATGAATGAAAACCCTTTTCTCTTGCCACATGCCAGTTTTCAATACCCCTGGCTTGAAATTAAAAATGGCAAACTGTATTTTATTAAAGTTTTTATAACCTATTTTTCTACTAAAGGTGATACACGGCAGATGATTTTTCATCATCTGCCATAATGTGGAACAGACATTTTGTCTTGTATCTCCTGCTTTTGCCAGCTTTTATGAGTCAAGCAATATATGGACAAAGAAAGAAAGGATCAAAGTCCAATTTACTTGCAAGGAAAAGTCTCCGGGGTAAAAAAGTTTTGTTCTGTCTTTATTAGTTTTAGCCTCTTAAAACCCTAATATGAATTTTTTCCAAATAGCATTTGATGTAAATAGCAAACCACATATTTAGGTATATATATGATATTCTATCTTGATATGATAATAATGCACCTTACAAACTTATAGAGCATGCTTATAAAAACATCAGAATTTCTAGAGCACTCGTACATTTATTATCGCATTTGAGCTTCACAGTAGCCTTGTTCAGATGGGCATGGCAGAGATTGCCACTCCCATAGATAAAGAAACTGAGGCCCAGAGAGGTGAAGTGGCAGTCTCAAGGCCGCAGGCAAATTAATTAGTAAGTCACAGAGCTAGGATTCAAACTTAAGTTCTCCCTGTTAGGTTTCTTTGTCCCTTACCACTGCTACAATGTGATGTGTAGTCATTTTCTCCCTTGATTTCAAAAAAGTTAAAAAAAAAAAAAAACTGCACCAAAACAAGATGGGGCTCTCACTTTAAGCAAGTTTTACTTTGGGAAGATGCTCGGAATATATGGTATGTTGTTTGCTTTCGATTTGCACAATTTTACAAGAGGAAAAGAATTTGTAGACTTAGAAAGAGATTTAGTTCTTTACAGTATAAGCCCTATCTCCGTAGTGCCTCTCTTTTTCACTTCCTCCTCCTCTCAGAAGCAAGAAATTCACAACCACACCACCTCAGGCCTTTCCTTATGCAGAGTTGTTTCACGAGTAAGGGCAAGGATTTTGCCTAACCTGTTCGTCCTATTTCAGACCCCACTTGCTTCGTAGATCTTGTCTTCATCGTGGACAGCTCTGAAATTTCTAAAATTTTTCTCTTTGACAAACAGAAAGATTTTGTAGATAGCTTGAGTGACAAGATTTTTCAATTGACCCCGGTTGGCTCCTTGAAATATGACATCAAACTGGCAGCCCTTCAGTTTAGCAGCTCTGTCCAAATTGATCCACCTTTTTCTTCTTGGAAGGATCTACAGACTTTTAAACAGAGGGTCAAGTCTATGAATTTCATTGGGCAAGGTACTTTCTCTTATTATGCCATCGCCAATGTCATGAGGCTACTTAAGAGAGAAGGGTGCAAAGATGGTGTGAAAGTGGCTTTGCTGATGACTGATGACATTGACCATCCAAAGAATCCAGATGTTCAAAGTATTTCTGAAGACGCCAGAACTTCAGGAATATTATTTATCACCATTGGACTCTCTACTCTAGTCAACGAAACCAAACTTCGTTTGATATCTGGGGATCCACCCAGTGAACCCATTCTACTGTTGAATGATTCAACCCTTGTAGATAAAATTCAGGATCACCTGGTAGGTACCTAATGGGTTGGTTTTGTATATATTTCTCACCATAATATTGATAATTTGTTTACAAATTCTGTAGGGATAGACAGTGGGTCAAAAAGATGAAAGGGAAAAAAATCCACCTTGGAAATGGAAAAAGAAGAATCTCTCCCATGTGTCTCTCTACTTTCTTGATAGTTTATACCACGTAATCTGGGGAAGTCCCAGACTCATTCTCTGGAACTTTATTGTCAGCTACTGCTGAGGATTTTGGAAGGATTAATTTCCATTCATCCACCTCAGACTCCTGTTTGTACATCCTGGGCTCATTGAACACTGCTGACTTATATTCGATTTGTAGTCAACTTGTGATCTGCTATATTTGTACTAAGTTCTCCTTTTCCCATTACACATGTGCAGGAATATTTCTTGACTATTTGTCTCACCTATTGCCATATTATGCTCAAGTGAAGTTCACAGACTTCCATTAAAAAAAAAAAAAATCTCCTTGTTTTTTAGGTGTTAACAAGGTCACCCAGTTTTAAATCAGCTATGACCTGCTGTCGCCCCACAGTTTCTCCCATCAAATCAATGAGTCCCACTAGATTGATCTGATTAGCTGTGTCACTGCTTTTCTTTATTGGTTGTGAGAGCCTTTCCTTGCTGCTAGGGAAAACACAAGGCAAAGCAATCAGAACAAAATCCCTCTTTACAACATTTCTCAAGGAGGAAACTCCTGGAGATAAGGTCGTTGATTTAAGTGTCAAAATTGATTTTCTTAAGAATATTGATTTAAAATTTTTTTCTTGAGAGGAGGGCAAGGACAATGTGTCCTTTAGGTCCTGAGCACTCCATATGGGCTCTTTTCTATCAGTTGAAAAAACCGCAGGCCCCGTTTCAGAGTCTGTTTTTCTCCTTTTGTCCCTTCCCTCAATTCTTTTCCCAGCATTACTTTGATTTTGTTACTCTCAGTTGTTTTCAGCATAAGATGCTGAGTTTTTCTTACCTAAATAATAGTGATCATGTCTTGAGTGCTCTCTGTGTATTATGCACTGCTCTGAGTACTTTACATATTTTATTTTATTCAATGTTTACAACAATTTTATGATGTAGGTACTATTATTATCTTCATTTTATAGTTGAAAATTTGAGGCCAGCTGAAAACCCTGGAGTCTGCATGCTTAACCCTGTAAAGTTATATTGAGAAGGAGAATAGTAACTATTTTTTATGGTTTTCTCCATTAAAATTGCCTTGAAACAGTTAAGGAACATCCCTTCTCCAAAGTTACTATTGTTTCTAGCCTTTTTTAACTTGGGCATTAGGGGTAGATGGGGAGAGTTCTGCCTAGACCGCAGGTGATAGGCTCAGCTCCCAGGTACTTGGGGTGAACGCTTAAGTGAGCATCTCTTCTGCAGGAAAGGGGAATGTGCTGGGTGCCTGGCTAACTGCCTAGCACTGCCTGCCCCATAGTTTAAGGAGTCCTCACCCCTGAATAAAAGAGAAGTTTCAAGAATTTCAGGAGAGAACCCTGGGGTTGTGATGAGTCACCTGTTGCTGCCTGGAGAGGACACAGGACAGGCAGCTCCTTGTTTGGCCAGATGTGTCGGTTCAGGAGGTTCATACGCCCTCCATACACATCCTTGCCAAGAGCTCCTGCCCAAATGAGAACACAGGCTGTTGGCAGTAAACCTGAAGCAAGACTGCTTGTTTCTGGGGAAACCAAAAAATGACTAAGCATCCTAATGACTCTGCTCTTCCATAGCATCCTGTGATTTCAGCTTATTTGTTCAGATGGAAGCTCTGTGAAGAGAACTTATTAGGTTTTTCAAAGAAAGATATACCAAGCTTCAATGGTTCAAATTGCCATGGTCTAGGAAGCAGAACTTGACTTTTGATCAGACCATTGGAAAAAGTCCTCATCTAATCTGCTTCTATTACATCTGTAGTTCAATTTTTAAAACTTTTTATTTTGTAATTATTATGCAGTTGATTTTTTAAAATAAGTTAATCCAGTAAAATTTAAGTACACATCTGTGTCTACTTTGATTGCATGTTTCCCTGAGTTTTTATAGATGTATACACCCATGAAACAACCAGCACAAGTAGGATAGAGAACACTTCTATCATCCCTAAAAGATTCCTTATGCCTCTTTGCAATATGTGTTTTCCCTTGTCCCTTAAATGCTACTGATCTGACTTGTCATCCTAGATTAGTGTACTTTGTAGATTTTTACATAAACAAGCTCACAGCATGTGCACTCTTTTTGTTTCAGTCTTCTTACTGCCAGCATAATGATTTTGAAATGCATCTGGATTGTTTTTTGTATCAGCAGTTTATTCTGTTTATTGCAGAGTAGACTTTAGTTGAATTTATGGACAGGAGTGTCCACAGTGAACAGATTTTGCAGGAGCCAAGACAAATCAAGGAACTATCACACATTCCTTGACACCTCTTGCAGGAAGTATCACATAAGAATCCCATGAAAGCATTTTAGTTCTGAATTACCCAAGAGAGACCTGATGATTCCAAGGTGAAGAAAATACTTGTGCTGCTATTTTGTTATGATTTACATAACAGTATTGAAACCTAAGAAACAGATTCAAACCAATCTCCTGGATATATTACTTGGTCCTTCAAAAGAGCAAGAGAGAGTACATAGAGATTTTAAAAATTCTTTATCACCTTTGATATTAAAAATTTTAAAGTCTTTATGGGAATAAAGGTTGTGACAAATTGGTCTCATTCTCTGAAGATAATTAAGCAAAACATCCATTTAGTGTATCCTCTCCTTCACATACAAAGAAGGGATCAACTTGATGATTTCTGTATCATCTTTAGAATCCTAGCCTTCATTAATTTATTAATTGTGGTCCACTTCCCAGTTTTTCAAGGCTTCCTCTGTTTAGAGCCTCACTTCTGTTCTCTAAGATTTTATAATGGCTATTCTGCTACTGTAGTAAGCTGCAAATATATATTTTTTATCATAGAGTTTGTAATCCTTGCCTACTAAGTTCTTTATTCTCATCCCATTTGCTGTCATGCTAATAACTTTGACACCTTCCTCACATTTTCTCTGTTCCCTTCTCATAGCCTTGACCTCATGGTCACTCACAAAACTGGCAATTCCATTCTAGCCTTCTTTCTTCACATATATGCCATTATAAAACTCTGACTCCATTAATAAAATGCCCCTTCTTTTGCTCTGGTGAGGTCCTTTCTCTATATTTTTTCATTTAAACCAGTGGTCCACAACATTTTTGGCACCAGGGACCAGTTTCGTAAAGATAATTTTTCCAAGGACTGGGGCGGGGGACGGGGGAAGGTTTCAGGATGATTCAAGCACATTACATTTATTGTGAACTTTATTTCTATTATTATTACATTGTAATATATAATGAAATAATTATACAACTCACCATAATGCTGACAGGAAGCAGAGCTCAGGTGGTAATGCGAGTGCTGGGGAGCGGCTGTAAATAAAGACGAAGCTTTGCTCACTCGTCCGCCCCTTACCACCTGCTGTGTGGACCAGTACTGGTCCATGGCCTGGGGGTAGGGGACCCCTGATTTAAACTACAGTATCCACCTAGACCTTAATTGAACATGCCCTTCCCTCTGGCTTTGACCATATTCTCCCAGCTGTCCTCCACACAGCCTGCCTCTCTGCTTAAGTGAAAGGCGTCACTACTTCCCAATTCTCCAGCTCTGTCCACGTGGGCCCTTCTGTCCACTCTTTTTAAATGTCCCTTCTCACTGCTTCCTTTGTCTGATTGCCCACACTAGTCTTTATGCCTTTTTTCCTTATAAACTTTGACATATAGAATCAGCGTTCCATCAATGAGTTAGTCCGTTGCATTTCTTTATTCAAAATTATCCAGAAAGTCCAACTATCCCAAGAAACCGTCCTGTTCCTCCCCCTCAATGCCCCCCAAGTCTAGGATCTCCTTCCCAAGCAGCTTGCTTTGCCATGTCTTCTATCACTGGGGCTTATAGGCTGTAAGTGCCCTTAGGGAACGGAGCTTTGTTCTTTGTTTCAAACAGTCTTATCTGTTATGTAGTTTTGAATTCATTTTTGTTTCCACAGAAATATAAATTACAGCAAACACAAAATCAAATGAGTTCCAAAAATAATTAGTAAGTTGTGCTGTTATGGTTTTTAAGCCCGTGGCACATAGTTTTAAAGGGTAATATGGCAAAGCAGAAATTGAATTTTCAAATGGAAAGCTTAAAAGGTTTAAAATTACACAACAGCCACAGTAGCAGTTAAATTTATGTTTAAAATTGATAAGGATATTGCTTATTGTAAAAAGGTGGTAAAGTGACACAACTTTGAATTTTTCCTTATTTTAGTGGTTATTTTCAAATATTACAATTTGACTTGAACTATTAGTTGTTTTATTGTCTCTTTTGAAATCCTTTCAAATTCCTTTCCTCTCTCTCCCTCCCAGAGGAAACCAAGTTTCTGACGTATATTTTCACAATTTGGATCACATTGTATGTGTTCATTTGCAACTTGCTTTTCCACTCAACTTTTTAGGAAATTTATCTATGTTAAAACACAGAAATTCAACACATTGACTTTAACTGTTGAGTAGTATTTTGTTTATTGATCCATTACACTATTGATGGATATTTTATTTTAAATTTTTCGCTATTAAAAACAATGAATGCTGAAATATACAAGTACAAGAATTTCTCTAGGGTATGTCTGGAAGGGATGTCAGGATCACAGGTGGAAGCAAGGACTTGTCCTGGGCAGTCTAGAGGTAAAGCATGTACATTTCAACTTTCTAGGCACAGCCAAATGTTCTGGAGACGGTAAAGCCATTTTACACTAAAATCGTCAGTTTTTCTGAGTTCCCATTCTCCACATGACCTACTAGTTCTTAAAGATACAAGTATCTCATCTGCTTTCAGCCTGGGTTTACACTGGCTAGTAATTTAAAATCACTGGGGCAGGGGACGATGGAGGGAGAGGGAAAGAAAGCCATAGGTGAGACTGAATTTGGTAGACAGGGTCTGTGGCCAGAGTTTTACAGCTCCCAAGACCATGTTGTCAACCTTTCTCATTTTATAGATGTGGAAAATGACCTGGAAGGATATATGACTTACCTAAGGCCAGGTGGCTAGATAATGGTGGAAACAGGATGAAAACCCTGGATGATGAAATTCCCAGCCTAAATTTTTCTCTGATTAAATCCCTAGAATCACTTAAAGCATTTTGCTATCTCTTCCCTCTAAATGATTCATTTGATTGGAAATAAAGGTAGAGTAAAAACAAAACTAAAAGGATGCAGAGTCCTCCATAAAGGTACAACTCTGACTTATCTTTTGCTTCTTCATTACATGCTTTATTTTTAACATCTTGCAACAAATATTCTAGTGCTTTTTGCTTCCATCTTCTATTTTACCATGTAAATTACCCCTCAGATTCAGTCATAAGGCATTAATTTGACATATAACTTCTACCTTAAGAAAGCAATAATTCTATCTGTAAACATAAGTTCTGTCCAGTGTTTGACTTCAGACACGACCTTCAGTGCTCTTGTCAGGTAATACCACACTGAGCTCGAGTAGGGTAGTGAGACCTACATGTTGGACAAAAACCACATCGGGAATTTCTCTAAAATTATGAATTTAAAGTAGTTTTGAAAAACATTCTGGCGACTTCATTTCCGTGTGGTTAAGTAGAAAATAGCACTGAACTTGGTTAGGCAGCTCAGCCCAAGTGTGTGACCTTGGGCAAGTCACAGCACTGCATCTCACGTTTCCTTATGAGAGAATGAGCTGCTGGACCGCATTGACTTGTAAGGCTCATTAATATTTCATGAAATTATCACCCTAAAATTTATGTTTTTGTTTTTTTTTTTTGCGATACGCGGGCCTCTCACTGTTGTGGCCTCTCCCATTGTGGGGCACAGGCTCCGGACGCGCAGGCTCAGCGGCCATGGCTCATGGGCCCAGCCGCTCCGCGGCATGTGGGATCTTCCCAGACCGGGGCACGAACCCGCGTCCCCTGCATCGGCAGGCGGACTCTCAACCACTGCGCCACCAGGGAAGCCCAAAATTTATGTTTTAAGGCTGAAAAATAAGTGCATATCTGTAAAGGAATAGAAAAATAGAGAAGAGAAAATACACAATTACATATTCTGCCAAACTCTGTAAATAAAAGTGAGAAATTTCTTATGGCTGATTAAGCTAGTAGCCAAACTATGGAGATTACAGAGCTGATAAAAAAGAAACAAGAGATAAAACATAGGATGCAAAAAGATAAAATTTCTAGAAAAAATTACTTTTAATGAATGCTAATGCCCTTCTATTAGTAGATGGCTCAGAGTGCTCCTTGGGTTGTTGGCTGGGGCTTTATTGATTTTACAAGGTTAAAGAGGCAGAATTGCTATTTTTTTTTGGAAATTGCATATCCCATAGGGAATAATTAAGGTTAGTAAGAAGATGGAAGCAGAACCGTGAATTGAGTTAATGTGTCATTCTTTTTTCCCTCCTAGGGTATCTTATTTGAAAAGAAGGTAAGCACCACATGCTGTGATTACTATGAATTACTCTAAAAGCTCACATAAACAAACCAGCATTATAATTCACATTAGAAGATAAGGTGTGACTAAATAAAAATGCTTAATTCTTTTTAAAATGAGCCACTCTATTTTGAGGCAGCCATTTGATTTATTTTATGTCACCATATCCAATGCAGGTTGGAAAATTTAGAAAAAGTAGGAAATATTTAAACGATTTTAGAGAGTGATTTTAGAAATCAATGATAATCAGACACCATAGTTTTTGCTGACTTTGATATGACTTCCTTTTTTCTAATTGTGTCTCAATACCTGCTACTTATGGGGGTCCTCCACTCTAGGAACTGTGCCTTGTGTGGGCCAGGGTTAGGCAATGTTCCTGGCTAAGGGACAGGGCTTAGAGTTGCCCCCTGCTGCCTGGTGGCTGACTAAGCTTATTCTCTTCCCTGTTGGTGGCAACCAGACCAAGTGACAAAGGAAGCTGGCCAATATCGATTGGACAGTACTCAGCACAATAGATGACCATGAGCTTGCTGAGGACTGCGCTACTGGATGTGTGTTTCTGGGCAAAGAGTTTGGAACATCTGAACTTTGTTCGATAAACTGATTCTTTAACATTAGGAGTATCACATAAAATAATAGTAGCCAACCAAAGCTTGTAGAGCACTACGTTTCATCATTTTATATGCCATTAAGACAGATTTTTAAAAAACCCTCTGGGGCTTCCCTGGTGGCGCAGTGGTTGAGAGTCCGCCTGCCGATGCAGGGGACACGGTTTCGTGCCCCAGTCCGGGAAGATCCCACATGCCGCGGAGCGGCTGCGCCCGTAAGCCATGGCCGCTGGGCCTGTGCGTCAGGAGCCTGTGCTCCGCAGCGGGAGAGGCCACAGCGGTGGGAGGGCCACGTACCACACAAAAAAAAAAACGAAAGCAAAACCAAAAAAACCCTCTGTCAATTAAACTATGATACAGTACCTTCTTATGAATTACAATTTTTCATTTTATACTATGGCAAGAGTCCTTTTAGATTTATTTAGATACAGATTTTTAAATCCTGTTATCACTTCTGTGCATACAGATAAGGGAAAATATAAGCAAACTAAACTGGTTATTTTTCTAAAACTTCTTCACATTCAAAGTTGAAATCCTCTAACATCACTTTTTGTCTCAGAGTCATTATTGGCTTTTCTACACAATACCAGCCCCTGTGCCACCAAAAGCATTGGTGATACAGCATTTCTTCAAGTGCTCTTGTTGTGTCTCTGGAGTTTTATTCCACCTCATTCTGGAAGCGCTGAAGTGCATGCACAGAAAATACCAGCTTCATCTTGGTTGGGCCTGACTCATTTAATATGCATTCTGGTTTCAAAGATGTGAAAATAAGGAAAAATATGCATCTTAGAACTGATAAAATATGGTATAAGTCAATTTTTTCCCTTTTTTGAGTAAAGGAGTATTTGGTGTTTGTATATTATTGAGCCTGGATGTGTTGTATAGAAGAGAAACAGCAGAAATTCCCAAAGTCCACTGAAAATGTTTATTTTTCCATTTTAACTGGCACATGATGTTATACATAAAATTTTAATGGGAGGTCTATTTTACTTAACCATGGCAACATTTAATAATACTTTATTAGCTAGGTCTTCCTAGATCAGAGTTTTCCTGGAAGAATTTAATAGGGAGAGCAAAAGCTCCATATATTTGCAAGGTAAAGTTTCTTCAAGGAGTGTTCCATTTAGTTGTGTACTGAATGAGATTTAAAATGCTATATTTCACTGAGTGTTAATATTGTATTTCATTATTGATTTAGTATGAACGCAAGATTTGTGAATGTGAAAAGGGGGATCCAGGTGACCCAGGGCCTCCTGTGAGTATATTTCTGTTTTGAACTTAGGGTCAAGTCAGGAAGTCCTAGCGATGATAGCTCTGCCCTGAAAACACTGGGCTACTTTGTGCTGTTGAAAAGCAGTTGTGTGCAAATAGCAGCAAAAACAGAAACGCTGTTCCTTTCTTTTATTCCTAAAGGGATACATTCTGTCCTTAGAAATAAGATTGAGATTTTACTGAACTGAATTGAGGGCAGATTTGGTTTAAAATGACGACGGTCTTCCCACGAAGGATATTTCAGCATCACTTCTGATGCAACAATTGAAGCCAGAATTTCTCAGTACTGAAGTGAAAATTTAGAGAAAGAGCTCATACAAATCCTCAGTGCTCTAGGCAAAGATTTATCCTACTTCCACCTAGAAACAAGTGTCCTCTCCAGAAATTAACTGTGTCTTCACACTTAGCCAAGTGCAACCCCAAAATGCCTCGTGGGGAGGAAGCTTGTCAGGAAGCTCTGGGAATTAGAGTGAATTGTGTGAAATGGAAGACACCACTTGGCAAACAAAGGTAAAGGGCAGGATTTACTAAGATGATTCAATACCTGAAAAGATAATCCCCAAAGGAGTGCTTCCTTTATATTCTGCCCTAATATCTGGTAGGTGCTATGTCTGTACTGGGAGGGCATTGGAAACGACATCACAATGACTGGAGATGCTGAATGTTTCTCTAACAGTCACCTTCAGGTGCCTCCATGCTGCTGCTTCAGTTTTTTATTTACTTCTGTGATTTCAAACCTTAGAGGTCAAAAGCCCTGTGGAGATATTTCACAAAAATTCATTGATAATGTTTTTGACCTGATGCTTGTATTTGGGGGCAGGGAGGGGAATGTGTACAGTGAATTTCTTAGACTATAACACATTTTCCCTTGAGTCTTGGGTCCAAAGCCTATACTTTTTCAAATCATTCTACTAATCAAGGCATTAGAAAGAGCGAGTGTTTGTCTTTTTTTTTCTTCAAAATACAAGTTAGATACATTACATGATAACGTGGCAGTCAGTAGAAGCTAATTTTGGCCAAAGCAAAGGTTTAACTTTCCCTTCCTATAAAGTCTTACTTTATACTTATTACACCAAGAGATTGCCAGGGAAGGTTTGCTTGGGATATTCAATTACGTTTTAGAATAAACAGTAAAAAGAAACCTTACAACTGCTGAGCTAATCTGACTATTTCAGTCCCTTAATATTGTTGGAAGAGATTACTGTACCATGTTTTAATAGGGATAGCCATAGAAATATGTTATTTAACATTTATTGAGTGTTCCCAAAACCAGTTCACAGAAAAGCGAGATTTTTGGTGGTTTGAGAATAGGAAAATAAAATGCCTTTCTAGAATAGGATTGAAGAACTCTCTTCTTCCATCTTTTGAGATTCTCTCTTGGACATCAGGAATAGAGAGACATTATCTTTTTTGAGCAAATCTAGAGAATCTGCCATTTCAAGACTGTGCCATCTTCCTGGTGTGTAGTAAGGGAAAATAGAGTTGAATCTCTGCTTGGTATGTAAAGTGTCTTTTACAATCTTCTTTAATTTTATGGAATGAAGCTGATCACAAATTAATGTAAGGTGTAGGAAACTAATAGAATGCCTGGCTCCATGTAATCTTTTTTCCCTTTGCCTTCAGGGTACACATGGAAACCCAGGTACCAAAGGTAAGTGAGGACCTAAAGGAAACCCGGTAAATGAATAAACAGCTTTCACTTAAACCAGTGTATCACCTTCTAGGTCTACTTAAATAACAAAAATTAAAAAAACAAAGGATTGTAATATATGCCAATGCCAAAAATCTGATGATTCCCACGAAGAATACAGGCTGTTTACTTCCTACATCATCTGTCTGGTTTGTGTAAGCTTGTATTTACAAATTCTGAGGAACATATGACCATTTTAGTCAATAAGTTCAGGAAACCTAGGGAGGTGAATAAAGAGAAACTTGTTCTTAAATAATGGTGGCCTAAATTAATTACTACCATGTTCCACAAATCACTAATACATATTCCAAAACAGATTGCTATTGACACTTGTATATTTTATGGATTCACTTGATGGGTAACTCACCTACAATAACAATAGGAAAAACACCAGATTGTCTTACTCCCAAACCAAGTTCAGGCATTTCCCCAATTCTTTTCTTTGTGTACTGATCAAAAAAATCCTAGATTAATTAAAAAAAAAATCATATCATTGTTGGGATGATGGTCTTCCAAGTTCAAGAGCAACAGAAGGAATCATAGGAGAGAGATTAGCATATGCAACCATGTGAAAATTTGAGGAAAGTTCATATATAATGAAAAACAATAATTAAAATAAAGAGGAAAACATATAGGGAAATGTTTATGTCAAAATACAATGGACATTGGGTTAATTGCTATAGTACATAAAGACTTTATAAAATAGATGAGAAGCTAATAATTAAATGGTCAAAGGACACAAACAATTTTCAAGACAGGAAATAAATCCAGTGAAAAAAGAAAGAGAAAAATGTTTAATTTCACTGGATAATGAATGAAACTTAAAGACAGACAACGAGGTACCCTTTACTACTAATTATTCACATTTTAGAAACTTTGGACTCCAAGGGTGTTGGGTTGTTTTTTGCGAGGGAGGGGAGTAATTTTCTAGTTCACGAGTTTGTTTTTTTCTGTATTTTAAAGTATAAAAAACATTTCTTATAGCACTTAACACAGCAATATTAAAACAATAATAACTAGTAATAGCAATGTGGTGGTGAAACTGGTTTCCTCTTCATTGCAAAGGTAACTTGGCACAAACACACAAACACTTTTGGAATCAATTAAGCACTATAAGAAGCATTCAAATATTCAAAATTTTAATGCCCAGTAACTCCATTTCTGAGAATATGTTTAGGGAGGAAATTAATAATATAATAAGTTAGGTACATGAAAGTATTTTTGCCAGTTGCCTGCTTGTCAAAGAAAGGGAATGTAAAGCATCCTTGGGTGGTTTTACCACACACACACACACACACACACACACACACGCACGCACCCCTACACTCACCCACTTTGTATGGGTCTAAATTGATGCCATAATGTCTTCTTTTTGCTTTGTTAAATACCTGTTGTAAGTCTTTGCACACATTTCATTTATTTGGCTTGTAATTTTGTGCCATATAATATATTTTCCTAAGTCTTGCTGAAATCAAGCAATCACTCTTAAGGACATTTTGGAAAACATTCCAAAGCCCCTTGGAGAAAAGCCAGAGTAGCTGGCTCCGAGTGGGTACAATGCTATATTTGAGAACAACGGCCGTGTTGTTAAACTAGGATGCAAGTCTTGGCCTAAGCTGTGAAAATATACCTGGATTCTGCACCCTATACATCTGGCTTCACTCCAAAGGGCAAAGGCTATCTGAGCTGCTATTTTCTTCCCTAGACTGCATGGTGAAATTGTCAATGGTCAAGGTCAAAGATATTTTCCCCATTGGTTTAACATATTAATCCAGTAAATCTGAATAGAGAATTTTATTGAGCAATCACTCACTCTGCAGGGCCATGGAATTTTGACTAAGTTTTTTTCTTGACACAGGGTGATGCTCAAAAAGGGAAACCGGGAGAAAGAGGCCCAGGGGTACGTACACAACTGAAATGCCTCCCTAAGAAAGTAATCCCAGGACGCTAAGATTCTGTAATGGATCATTTTGACCCCTGCAATGCAAGTGCAGAAATGATTTATGTCCACGTGTGCTCTTGATGGCTCAGACAGGCAATCAGACAGATTATGATCTTAGAAGTGGAAACGTGAGGAGAAAATACCCTGTCCAAAAGGAGTGATGATGGGACAGGGCGGTCCCGCCACATAACATTCTTTGATACTCAAGTTGAGATTTGTGAAAAGCTCAAATAAGAAAAATATTTTGTTTTGCTTCCTGTGTTTTTTATTTTTTTTTAATAAAGAGTAAATTAAAATTCTGGGAGCAGAAGAATTACATAATCTCAACTATCCTTTTGTAAATCCAATTCTACAGGCAAAAGAAGAGATTGTTCTAGTTGATTTATTATCCCTAAAATTAGAAGATGTCAACAGATTGTGTGAGAAATAATTATAGTACATTTCTTCTTTTGCATTGTCCTGGAGAACTGCAGCAGTCTAACAAATAGCAGAGAAATGTACAGTGACTTAAAAGGAGGCTGCGTGGCATTTCTCCTCCCAGCTTTTCCCCTTGGATGAAAGCCCAGGACTCAGACCCAGAGGTTTTAAAAATGGTTCTCTTGGTGTTTTTAATCAATTTCATGAAGAATTCGGATAGAAAGTTTGATAATTTCAATGGAAATTCCTTCAGAAATTTGTGTTACTCATTCAGGAAAGACTTCTTAGGTATTTTATATATATATAAAGCCTATTGTTATGTGAAAATAAAATTAAGACAAAGCACTTATTTTTGTGAAACGTTCATTATCTCAGAGGAGAGGTAAAATAGCTACAATATGAAGTGGAATGTCAAAATATTCTAAAAATTTCACACATAAAGTATAATGGGCATTCAGAGGAGACCAGAGCTATCAGGGTAGTTTCTACAGGATGACCCTTGAAGGGTGTAGGACTGAGACAGGTAAAGACAGAACAGGAAAGTGGAAGGGGCAGGCATTCTAGACTGAAAGTGCTGTGAGCAGCAACCAGAGGGAAGGCAAAGTGTGGGGAATGGTGAGATGGGATGCCTAGGGAGGAGTACTGGCAGAGTGGTTGGTCCATGCCGGCTGGAAGGCTGGGCTTTGCAGGGTGATGGGCACCTCCTGAGATTTTAGATGAGGCGTATTATGGCCCAAGAGCTGTGGATTTGGGAGATTAATCTGGCCTGGCTCTAAAAGCAAAACTGAAGTGGAAACAAGCAGAAGGAAAGGGCATTTTGAAGAAGGTTTGTTGCTACAGGCTGTAGGAGAAGTTAACAGGGTCATTAGCTAGAGCTGCTCCAGCCAACGTGAAAGCCGCTGGCCATGTGTGCTTACCGAGCAGTTGAAAGAGGCTAGCCGGAGTGGAGGTGTGCTGGAGGAATAAACTACACACTGAATTTTTTATGACTTAGTACCAAAAAAAAAGATGTAAAATATCTCATCAATAACTTTTTAATATTGATCACATGTTAAAATGACAGTTTTTGGACCTACTGTGATAAATACAATATATTATTAAAAATTAATTTCACCTGTTCATTCTCACATTTTTCAAGTGGCTGTTAAGGAATTGAAAATGACATAGGTGGCTCACGTTATACTGGACAGAACTGGGCTACAGTGATGACAAAACAGAGAGGAAGAGAACATTGTGAGAACTAGGAAGGCGTAGAAATGAGGGGATGCAGTGACTAGCTCTACCTCAGATGTTCAGCAAGATTTACTGAGCACTTGCCATGCGCTGGGCCCTCTTTTAGGTGCTGGGGATACAGAGGTGAGCAAGGTGGAGAGACCCAGTTTCATAAAGCGTTCAATCAACAGACAAACAAGTGAGTAAGAACTCCAGTCAGTGAGAGGGTTATGAAAATATAAAACAGGGTGGTCCTAGGCAAAAAGAGCAGCAAATACAAAAGCTCTGAGGCGGGAGCAAGCTTGGTGGGCCCAGGAAATGCAAAGAGAGAGAGAGTTTGAGGAAGAGTGGCGAGGGAGACGAGGCTACGAGGTAGGCAGGGTCTAGCTCGCACAGGGCCTTGTTGGCCAGGGTCAGGAGAGTGGATCTAAAACTAAGTGCCCTGGAAGCTGTTGGAGGATTTTAACTGGTTGGATTAAAAGAATGGAAGGGGCAAGTTGAGAGCAAAGATGATTATAAATTTTGATTCTGTATGATTTGAAATATGATGGTACCATTCATAGAAATAGGGAAGTCAGAAGCAAATTTTGCAGAGACCAATGAGTGCAGTGCTGAATATCTCAAATTTGAATATTTTAAAACTAGTAAGTAAGGTGCCCTGAAAGGAAGAAAGAAAGGTGAGATCAACCAAACAATAAATTGACCAGAGAGTTAGGAAAACAAAACAAAACCCAAAAAACAGGAAAAAAAGAGAGTATACTATAAAAAGTAATATTCCTTTATTTTTGTAAACTGTATTGGCCCCTTCCTAAATACAATCTTAACACTCTTAACATAAAATAATGACAGAATTTTAAATATGGTGGTATATTATAAGCAGTGGAGGGCACCCCAAAATTCCTGAGATTGGAAAGTCCAGCCTTTTTTAGTGCTGCAGACATGAATTGTTTTTATAAAGAACCCCAATTTAACTATCTTAACGTGGCCTTTAATTTCAAGCACAATACTAAACATAAAACCATTTATGTGAATAAGCATTTCTGACACGGATTAAATTGTAGTGTAACAATTTTTTTGACTAGTTTTACTTTTATTTTCAATTTCTCAGTGACTGCACATTTGGGGAGAAGTGCTATTTCCTTCCTAAAGAATTCCTTTTTACCTTTTGTAAAAAAGTCATACACAAAAAAGTTTGTACTCTGACTCACAAGTAACTACAATCACAGCTTGTTTATTTCATTGGTTTCTCCAACTCACTTAAAATATGTCTTACAATTCTATTTTCATACATAGAAACTAGTTGTATGAAAAAGACATGTGATCATATTAGAAAAAGACTTGCTGTTGCTTAAAGTTGGTAATTTACCAGTCTGTTTAATATTCAGTATTGTGTTACTTAAAGGGTTTATGGGCAGCAACACAATGGAGAAGGCTGTGCAGAATTCCCAAGAGTGATGTACAAGAGAAGCAGAAGCACTGGCCCCTTATTTAGCCTGAGATAAAATATAGTAACTTAAAGGTCACTGTCTCACTAAGGTTGACAAAGGAACCATTCATTTCCTCATGTTCTATATTCTAGGCCGAATTTGAAAGGAGGATCATAATGGATATAAACATTTACGGACATTTTAAAGGCCATTATCTCAGCTCAGTTTCAAAGCCAATTTTTCTAAACCGTCTCTGTGAAGCATCCTCAGCTGTGATAGTCCACAGTTTAAAAGTCAGTATAACAATTTTGAAAGCACTATTATAGGTCGTCACTTCTACAATGAGATTCAGTGTATAGTTTCTCCTTTAGCTTTGGGCCAAAGGGTAAGAAATGGGGTTTGAAAAAATATGTGGAACTGAGAATAGAATGTAATAAAAGGAAAAAATAGGTTCTTTTCTTTCCCCTACTATATGCACATTCCCTAAGTGCAGAGAGAAGTGAAAGACCTTACCTTTATACGTCTTAATTTCTAAGACTATACAGATGTGTTTTGTTATACTTTGTAAATGAAAAACATCAATTACTTACTCCAACTATGCCTTCTAATATCATATTTTCCTTCTCTTTTCTTTTTTAATTAGGGAATCCCTGGGTACAAGAGTGAGAAGGTAAGTTGGTAACAACAAATAGATCAGAATTTCATAAAGAAAAACAGCAACATAACTGCATTTATATACTTAATAAAAGTTATTTTCCTTTATTTTTGTAAGTCTGGATTCCCAAATTCCTAAGTATATTCTCAACTCTGTTAGCATAAAATAATAATAGAACTTAAGATACAGGTGTATGTTATAAAGGATGGAAGGAAGCCTAAGATTCCTGAGAATCCAGCCTCTCTTAGTCCTGCAAATACGAATTCTTTTAATAGAGAACCCCAGTTTAATGGTCATGCAATATGGGTATCAAGATCAAAAGTTTCTGTGTACAAATGGATGCAGCAATACTACTGCCTTGGTGCTTAACTTCCTATGAAATGTAGACACAAGACCCTCTCATGGGGGAAAGAGGATGTATCCTGGTTAAGCGGTAAAGAATTACTTAGTTCATTCTATCAGGCACCTGGGTAGAGCTTGCAGGGGCAGTAAATTTGACAAAGGTTATGAATTGGTAGATTATTTTATTATTCTTTGCAAATTACCAATTAGGAAATCAAACTGCTTCCAAAGAAATTAACACGTTAGACTGGGGCTCAGGAATCCTCAAGGGGGTTCAGTGGTTCATAAGTTTAAGCCACTATTATTATATGCTCTCTATTATCAGATTTTTCTGTCTGAAATCAGAATATAGCCCTCATCATTCATTCTGTCCTGCAAGCCTCAGACCTGGGCAAGAGGCATACACTTTACAGGGTCCTGCTCTGGGTCTCCTCCAACCTCCTCATTCATGAGGGATCCAGGTGTCTGCAGAGTGAGAGGCCCATGTCCCCATCTCCTGGATCATGCTTTGGGTAACCAAGCCCCTAGAAGTCCCTGCAAAATGGTCTGCGCCTGCTTCAAAGGTACACATGAACCTCCTTCCCATGTCCATCTTCTTCCTAGGCCTGAGGGAAACCAAATGGAAGCTTTGTTGGGCAGGAGGGGGCTTTGTTGTGCTGTTTGTGGCACCATCACAGACACATACAGCTCCTTTGGCTGTGGGAGGAGCTGGAGGTGGGAGGTGAACTGAGAGCTGGGCTGTGGGCTGTGGGCATGGGCCTCCCACATGCACCTCTGGGGAATTCCAAAATTCTCTAACTTTTTACTCCTTTTGGAGATATATTTGTCAATAAAGGAAGCCAGAACATGACTAGTCTATTAGCTCGATTTGGAACTTTCAGCTACTTAGGTGGTATTTGGGCCTCTGCTTATACTCTTGTTCTGGGCCCTGTAAACATTAGGGGTGAACCTACACACAGGCATATAAATATATCCCTAAACACTGGAAATGTTAGGTCGAAAAGGGGAAGAGTGTAAGAAATGCCATGATTCTGTACTTTGCCATCAGAACCTGGACAACTCAATATCTTAGAGTGTCTGTTTCTTCATCCATATAGAACTGGATTAATACAAGCCTCTCTAATTTACAGGGTGGTTGGAGAATCAAATAGAATAATGGATGTGACAATGTATTTTAAATTATTTGCTGGTCTATAAACATAAGGTGCTATTATAAAGAGATAAGGAACAAGTGATAATATGGGAAAGTTAAAAACTTTCATGATTGTAAAACTGTCCTATATATATCGTTGAAGAAAATTTTCCATGCCACCACCATTTTGATTTATACAGTATGCTAATTATCAACACCAGGAAACTCTCTGTGTATTTTTTTTTTTTTAAAGATTCACTTAAACTTCTGGGGAATTATAGATTCACTGGAGGGGCCCTCGTTTGGAAAATACAAGCTGTCGGAGCAAAATGACCCTGAACCGTCGACATTCAAACCAGAATTTCACCAGGATAAGCTGCGTCAGAAACCGAGGCTGGGAACAGAGCTAATCTGTTCAGTTTTTTCTGAAGCACTTGCTCTTGGGAACTTTGTAATTCTGACCATTCCACAGGGATTACTGAGCCCATCAAAAAAGAAAACACCTTTGCAGAGGTACAATGAGTACAGTATCTTCATTGATGGGAATCTGTCCCCATGCCAATGCTGTTCCTCAGGACCCTATAGCTAACAAATCTGTCTGGACAAATGGAACGTGAATTCTAGCCCAAAGAATTTTGAGCATATTTATGGTACTTTTCTGTTTTATATTTTGGTGGTTGACTCATTTTATTTCCATCCAACATTCTTCAATTACTTGCTTTCTAGTTGATTCTTCAAGAGTGATTTTCCATTTGCATTCAGCAATAAATGTTCAACTTGTTTTAAGCGAAAGCTCAGTTTTTCCTGGGTCAGTTTGACTCACAATATGATGTGGAGAGAGAACAGATGGCTTCTGTTTTTTGTTAACTTTTTATTTTATATTGGAGTATAGCCGATTAACAATGTTGTGGTAGTTTCAGGTGCACAGCAAAGGGAGTCAACCATACATATGCATGTATCCATTCTCCCCCAAACTCCCCTCCCATCCAGGCTGTCACATAACACTGAGCAGAGTTCCCTGTGCTATAGAGTAGGTCCTTGTTGGTTATCCATTTTAAATATAGCAGTGTATACATGTTGATCCCAAACTCCCTGACTATTCCTTCCCCCCACCCTTCCCCCCAGTAACTATAAACAGATTGCTTTTGAATAGAGACATAGCTGGATCTAAAAACTGTACCTCCCTTTGCCTGCTCCCCGTGCCAGCAATACCCCATGTAGAACCCTAGGCAGAAGTGTCAGGTTAGTGGGAAGTAACTTGAAGACCATGGCAGTGTACCCTGTTCAGCTTTGGGTGGCTGAGGGAGAACACGGACTTGGGAGCCTAACAGACACAAGCTCGTGGTCATGGGCAAGCTACTTAATCTCTCTGAGCCTCACTTGCCTTGTGTATGAATGGAGATACATACACCTTGCAAGGCTGTTGTGGTGATCACCAATAACGTCAAGACTTTGGCACATACTCTGCATCCATAACTGGTGGTCACAGTTACGATATTCCTGCTCAGAGCAAAGTGTGGTCTGCAGGTTGGCAGTCAATCTTGAACTATTTGTTGCTATTTTGTGATGAGGTGAAGCTTGCACAAGAATATAAGTCCACTGTATCACTAAACATACTGCTTAGCTCAGGTGACATTTATTTTTCATAGCAAGACTTCCCTAATGAAGGAAGCAGGGCAGTGATGAACATTCTAGTGCAAGTTCCTTATGTAGTGGCACTTTGAGTTGCATGCTTTAGAGGAGCACAGAGATAATAAATCAGCAGCAGAAACAGAAACTATTAGTGAGGGCACCAGCCTAGGAGTCATTGGCTGGCATGGACATTTACATAAATCATTTAACACCCCCAACTGAACTGCCCTACCTTAAAAATATGAATTGCTTCGAGGCTCAGAATAAATATAGATATGTATGAATACACTTTGAAAAGTCTAACTTCAGTTATTTTTCTAATTGACCTTGTTACTTGTTAGTTCTAATTATTAGACGTCTTGAAAGTCTGATATAGTGGATTTGTATTCAGAGGCCCCAATTCTCATTCTATCTGAACAAGTTACGTAACCTTTTTAAATCACAAATTTTCAATCTGTGAAACTGGGCTAATAATATCTACCTCAGACAGTTAATGTCAGATTAACTGACATAATGTCTGTAAAATAACATTAATAATAAACAGGAAAGCATAATTTAAATGTTAACTTGTTTTTCCGTTAATATTCCAGGAAAGGCAGGACAGCAGTCTGTAGTGATGGAAAATACACAGCATGCTTGTCGCCATGCCCAACTCTCTCTCTCTCCGCAGACCTTGATCATTCATCATGGCTCCTTTCTCCACCAAGTCTGGACATGATCTCAGAATCTTTCTCTCACAGTTCTCTAGGCAAACACTACTAATTGATCAAAGTTGGTGCTCAGGCTGGAGCATGTGGTGTTGTGGAAAGAATAGGGACTCGGAGTCTGAGTAGACCTGGGCTGAGACCTGATTCTTCTTACTAGCTCTGGGATGGAACAAAGTTACCTTGTTGAGCTTAAGTTTCCTCATTTATAAAATAAGATGAAGGTGAAGGGGATTATGAGGTACAAACTGCCAGTTATAAAATAAATAAGTCACAGGGATGTAATGTACAGCACAGGGAATATAGTCAATATTTTGTAGTAACTTTGGATGGTGTGTAATCTATAAAAATATTGAATCACTATGTTGTACACCTGAAACTAATATGATATTGCAAGTCAATTATACTTCAATAAGAAAAGACATCTATGGATCAAATTTAAAAAAAGAAATTGTAAAACTAATCTCATTGGGCTATAATGTGGATTCAATTAAATCACATATGCAAAGGGTACATAAAATATGGTAGATGCTCATTAAACCTTAGTTTCTTTCCTCTTAATTTGATCCATGTCTCAAAAATGTTAAACCTCATTAGGTGGTATCACTAATTTGATTGTGTTAAGAATGACTCATGGGTAGAATTTTTCAGAGTTCAATGCCCAAACAACCCACAGTATTGAGGATAAAACTGTGTATAACTCATCAGACTGCTCGTGTCATAAGATTCTGCTGGGAATCTTTTAACAAGAATCCGAACACTGAATGACTGCAAATGTCTTCTTATTTCATGTATTCATTTTTTTAGGGTGAATGTGGAGAATGCGGTAAACCAGGAATAAAAGGTGACAAAGTAAGGAACTTGTTTTTAAAATGCTAACAGCTGTGATCCCTTTGGGACTGAGTTTCCTTAAGAAGAAATTCCTGGATTCATTGTGTTGCTCTCACTACTGGAATTAGAGAGTCATCGGCTCAATTTTCACATCTGTAAAACATGAAGCAAACAACAAAGCCACCCCTAACTTTATTTAATGGAGCCCCCAAAGGCCTTTCTTACGGACCATTAAGACTTTGCCTTGTGGCACCCTAACCTTTGAGACCAGGCCCACTAAATGTTATGGTGTAAAGAATAACTTAACTAGCAAAGTCAATTCAAGCTCCAGTTGGGTCAAAGGAGAATTGTTTTCCAGATGTAAACGCTGAGAACAAGCACCTTCCAAAGTAGAGTGAAGAACTCTATGAAATAGGTTAATGAAATACTTTTCAGTAATGTGGAAGAGCTAGACACAGATAAGGATTTGAAAATGCAGCAAGCCACAGATAATTGGGTATTTACCTTTCATTAAAAAATAAATATGAATAAAATATGTAAACTGGAGACAATATTAAAATGTTAAGGAGTTCCTTAATGGACCAGAAATACATAGAGAGTATATTTGAAACATGATAAAGGGTCCAAAAAAGTACAGAGTAAAAGTAAATAGTTTTCATTATAGTTGAGAACTGTTACCAGCATGCCACCAAGATACCAAAGTCTTTCAATATCTATTTTTTAACTATGGGAAGAGTCAAGGAGAGAAAACGAGGAGGAAGGTGAAAAGAAAAGGATAAAATAGTGACACTGGCCTATGTAACTAAACACTTTAAATAGGCTGAGACTTTCTGAAAGCTTTTAAACTACTGTAGAGTTAAAGGTCAGATGAATCTGAAAAATGTAGGCTTGGTAATTATCTCTGGACAAAATGAAGGGTGTGATAATGAATGGATTCTTCCTGGAGAATAACTGAAAATGGGAGATGGATATAGACTTGAAAAAACAGAAGAATGGACACACAGAACAAAAATTAGTCAAAAAATAACTGGAGAAACTATTTGAAATAAAAATGGCTGACAAAGATTTAATACAGTTCATTGACTAAGATGGGAGGGATTGTTAAATGCCCTATTATTTTCTGTGCTAAAAAGAAAGAAAAAATACTGCCCATTATAAATGTAAGGTGCAACTGATTGTATGATGTATCCCAATTTCAGAGATGTAAGTATCTGAAAAAATGCATGTCTAAGGTCAATGAAATATAGTGCCCTTGATGTGAAGAGTTCATGTAAGTTTACACATAAAACATACAAAGAACACAAAGCAACATAAAAGAGGAAATATAATTGGGTAATAAATAAAAAAATTATCCAAACACATAAGCAATCAGGTAAGTAAAATTAAAACATTAAAATATTACTCCACCTATCAAATTAGCAAGCACTGAGATAATATATAATACTCAGTATTGATGGAGATATTGTAAGATGAAGATGCACTCTCTATACTCAGATAGTGAGAATGGAAATCTGAACAAAATTTATGGAGGAAATTTTTACTTTTTCTTTCCATATATGGTGTGAGAGACAAAAGAGGGTGAATGAGAGACTTAAATGTGCTTACAGTCTCTGTGTCAGTCATCTTCTTCTAGGAAATTATCCTTAGGAATGAATCAGAACTTGAACAAAGATTTATACACAGAGATATTCACTATACTATTGTTAACAATAGAAATCATCAGAAACAAGTGTCAAAACTAGGGAGATGAGTAGCTATGACAGAATCATATTCTTGGATATTATTCAGTTTACTAAGAGTTTTTAATGACATGGAAAAATATTTTTGATAGAATGGAAGACCAGATAAGTAGGACACAAAATTGGATATACACTTTGATCAAATTATTTAAAGAAAGACCTACTGGATGAAATAATAATATTGGATGAAAATATGCCTAAAATGTTAATAGCTGTTAGCAATTTACTTTTTTTCTGTAATTGTCAAGGTATGTCTATTATAAACAGGTTACATTTTGGTAATCAGAAAAAAAGTGGAAATCTGAGAAAAGAGAGACTAGATAATATTATACTGTCATAAAAACAAACTTTAAAGGGCTTCCTAGTTATGGGACATATTGAAATACTTTCTGTTAGAAGAGTGTTGAGTATAAGTTGTGTTTTGCCAAGTTCTATGTATTGAAGATGGGCAAGAGAGTGATCTAGACATTGTGGAAACTCACTAAATTTTTTTAAAAATTTATTTTATTTATTTATTTTTGGCTGTGCTGGGTGTTTGATACTGCTCGCAGGCTTTCTCTAGTTGCGTCGAGCGGGGGCTACTCTTTGTAGTGGTGTGCGGTCTTCTCATTGTGGTGGTTTATCTTGTTGCAGAGCCCGGGCTCTAGGCGCACAGGCTTCAGTAGTTGTGGCACATGGGCTCTGTAGTTGTGATATGGGGGCTCTAGAGCGTAGGCTCAGTAGTCGTGGCGCACGGGCTTAGTTGCTCCGCGGCACGTGGGATCTTCCCGGACTAGGGCTCGAACCTGTGTCCCCTGCACTGGCAGACGGATTCTTAACCACTGCACCACCAGGGAAGCCCACTAAATTGTTAATTTAACTGACGTTGCCTTGCTGGAAGGAAACAATATTCCACCAAGTTTATTGCTTTCTAAGGATTCTTAAGAAATTCATTTTTAAAATTCTGATCAAAATGTCAATATACAGGCAAAGGACTTAACCTAAAATCGTGTTTTCATGGAGTTTGTTTACTAGAGAAACGTTTACTAACAAGTTGGCTTGTTAATTAGGATCGTTCTGTTAACGGTGAATTTGTTGGCTTTGATGTTTGGATAACCTGGGAAGACTGGCCATTACTGGGAACACAGTTCCTTCTCTTCCACGTAAAATCATTGCAAGTTGAATGGATATTTAGAGCAACTTACCGTTAATTTTATTCCACAGGGACTCCCAGTGCCAAATGGACCAAAGGGACCCGGAGGACTTCAGGTAAGGAGGCGAAAACCAAATCTAAGTCTGTATTAGAATACCTAGGGAGCTTTTGAAATCTCTGTGCCCACTTGCACCCTCTACCAATTCAGTCAGAATGTCCGGGGATTGGAGTCAGGAATCAGTATTTTTAAAGATTCTCAGGTGATTCCAACGTGAAACAAAGTCTGGAAACCGGTACTCTAATATTTTGAATAACTAACGCAGGCTCCTTCAAAGATAGGTGCCGGCAGGTGAGTCTATTTAGTGAGTAGCTGAAGGGATAAAAGTGAAAAAGTTAGGGTTTAGGAAGACGAATAAAGTCAAAGCAGTTAAAAGCAGGATGTAACAATGTTTGCATTGCTGCTCTAATGCAGTAGGAAAAGCTATGCATTTTATCTAAATTACAGCATTTGTATTGTTCCATCATGATAAGTAGTAACTGCTCGATAGCATGGAATGATTCTTTAAAGCATTTATTTTAGACTTATCCCAGGGATTTCAGAAAATAATTGGATCAGTTTTTCCAGTCTGGGGACTTGCCTTGTCTAAAGCTGTAATGGGAAGAGGGTGCGTATATGTTTGAAGAACTAATTTCAGCATTTCAAAAAGTCTACTGAAAATTATACCTTTACCCAAAATTTCCTAGATGGCATCTAGTTGACCATCAACGCCTTTGTTCTGGTCTGAAATTGTGTCAGGACAGGGGAGTAACTCTGATTATCACAGGTCATTGGAAACTCCAACTTACAGTTATATATGCCTTAGATATATATTTTTAAAGTTGTTGTTTATTCTTTCCAAAAAGGGGTCCAGCACAGGAATAATGTTGGAAACGCAGGTTTAGAAAACAAACACCTCATTAATAAATGTTTGCTCTCAGTCTAGGTACTATTTTAGAAGCTGTGTGTTTGACACAAGGAATTTTATCTCATTCCATTTCTCAATCGTGTGTAACTCCAACTTAACTCTGCCTTAGAAAGTCTGACTTCTAACTCCAGGATCTCTAGGGACCCTAATGAATGATTCATTCCTGATTGGCCTTCTGTACACAGAACTAATTCTTGGTTTTCATCTTGGAGCAGGGCATTACTGGACCTCCAGGGGACCCAGGCCCGAAGGGGTTTCAAGGCAATAAGGTAATCATACCCATTGATTATAGACAGGCAGAGTGCCTTTCCGCTAGTGAGCTATGGTAATACACGTTTCTATTAGGCAGAAGTCAATGGATTCTTTGAGGACGAATCTTTGGAAATACATAATAACCTGCAGGTGTTATACACAGAATCATGTTTAAGTACATGCAGGAAGTCAGTGTCATAGTCTTTTCATTTCTTCTTATTATTTTATTCAAAGGGGCATTATTAAATATAAGCCATTATTTTTGCAGTGTTTCCATCATACTCCCGCCCTTTTGGTCATTTTATGACTCATAGAAACTGAAAAGTAGTAATAAGCAACACAATTCAAATCACTCTATTTCCCACAGGTAATGTCAACTCAATACACAGTTTATAAGAGAAGGGGATTTACAACTGTCATACCAACAAAAATTAAACTTTTTGAATTGCGAGGGTGTAATCTCTATCAGTACCAGCCTTGTAATGTCATTCCACAGGTAACCAGGCAAGACGTATAGGGAGGGGTTGAATAAGAGCCAGATGGAACCAAAAGTTGAGAAAGAAGGGATCTTTAAAAGACCTATTTATAAGACTCCATTTTCCAATGAGGGTGGCCATTAATTTGCTGAAAACAAGCGTTTTAGTGCCTTTTTAACACTTCTCAGTGCTTAGTAAATTCCACAGATATAGTAAATATCTAATAAACGGTGTTGAGTTAGTGACTGGAGATCTGTGGAATTTGTGGCAGTAATAACAGCAGACAGTACTGTCCCCAGAGGACCCTAGATAAAGCCAATCTTTTAAGGGTGCTATTAAATTTAAGTTGTGGGGAGCAGTTGGGCTACTTGACTGTTCTTTTTTCCAGAGAGAGGTAAGGGAGTGACACGTATACTATTTTTAATGAGATAATGACAATGTGTGATTTCCTGGGGCAGTTTTAATTGGCAAATTAAAATAGAATGAGCTTCTCAGTGGGCGTGTGCTTAAGGTTGTCTGGGGAAACTGTCTTTCCCAGTCCTTGCCTATGATTAATTCTCTCTGGGCGAAAGAACTGGCTCTTCTGAATACTGAGTAGAAGTTTTTACAAAATTGCTTTGGCTGTAGGTAAAATCCTGCAGCAAGGAAAAGAAAATATTTTGACAGTCCACACTTATTTCTAGGATTCTTTGGTTACCTAAGCTGATAATTTTCACATGTTTGTGAAAAAGAGGCTTAAAATCAGGGATCAGTTTTGGAGTTTGCAACAGTGATAGAATTACAGATTGTTTGAGCCACAAGGAATATTAGAAATCATACTGGCCCAAAGTTTTCATTTTGGATAATGAGAAGTCTGGAAATCAGGGCATCTGTAGGGGTGCTGGGCTGGGAGCAGGGCACTCAGCTTCGGGAGATGGGTGATGGCAGTTCATAAAAACGTGCCATCGTTTGATCACTTCTCATGTCTTATACAATTACTACTCAGATTTTTCTTTTAAAGTGGATTTATTTTCACAGAATTTTGCTTTTAATTCTAAGAATGCATTAACTCTTAGAATAAATAATGAGTCAAGTATATTGGGGGAGGCTGTAATTTTCTGACATAACACTTCATGCTCAACTTTCACATCATCATCATAAAAGGAGTCACTTTTCCAAAGGTATCTGAGGACTTCAACTTTCCAAGGGCCTCTCTTTTTAAAAATTCTTTTCTTCAAAAATTTTGGTGAAGGGGCTTCCCTGGTGGCGCAGTGGTTGAGAGTCTGCCTGCTAATGCAGGGGACACAGGTTCGAGCCCTGGTCTGGGAGGATCCCGCACGCCGCGGAGCGACTGGGCCCGTGGGCCACAGCTACTGAGCCTGCGCGTCTGGAGCCTGTGCTCCGCGGCAGGGGGGGCCGCGGCGGTGAGAGGCCCACGCACCGCGATGAAGATTGGCCCCCGCTTGCCACAACTAGAGGAAGCCCTCGCACAGAAACGAAGACCCAACACAGCCAAAAATAAATTAATTAATAAACTCCTACCCCCAACATCTTAAAAAAAAAAAAAAATTTTGGTGAAGATATTTAACGTAAAATTATCACAGGTTTAAAATCACAAAATTCACTGCCAGGTGAACACAAAAAATTCATTGTCTGTTAAAAAGATGTCAGTATCTAAGGAATATTGGGGGTTCTTGGGAGGGAGTGAGATGGGAGTAAGCGTCTCATTTTTCTCCTAGTTTTATTTTTGGCTTAAGGTCACAGATTTAATGGTCTCTTGACTGTTATTTGGAGACTATTGCTAATTCCTACCCCTCTTTGGATCTGTCAACCAGAGACACATGTCACATTCATTAATTGTCTTAGGTTTTATACATTTATTCTTGTATTGCATTAAAAGTCAGGTTTCAGGGAATGGTTTCATCTTGCATCCCAGAATGTACTTCTAAATCTTAAAAACTTAATAAACTATTTCTTTGCTCTAACTGGAAACAATGTTTTATAGTGACATTTCTTTTTATCCATTACCATTTTATTACAAAATGGTTTTACGATATTGCTATTGCAATTCGTGCCAAAAAAAACCCTTTAAAATTCAGTAATTCTGTATTTTCCAATGGACACAGGGAGGATTATTATTTTGAAGCTTCTAAAATAACAGATAGCACTTATTTAGTGTATATTTACTATGCACAGATACAGTTCTAAATACCCATTTAAGATAACACCACCTTCTGAGGCATGATCTATTCTCACTCCCATGGTATAGATTAGGCTACTACGGCACAGAGAATTTAAGCAGTGGATTCAAGTCTACACCGCTAGGAAGGGACAGAGCCAGGATTCAAACCCAGCCAGTCTGCTCTTAACCACCATATTATATCTATCTCCTTAGGAAAACTGCTGAATTTCCTAGATAGTCAACCTGAGATAATTGCCTTTCTTTTGGACAGTATGCAAATTGCATCTGTCTACCTCCTCTAATGTACTCTGGCTGGAAACAAAAGTCTGTTGAGAGTGCACTTCTACTTGGTTATAATGTTCATCTGAAAATGCAGGAAAAGAAGGAAAGGAATCTCATGGGAAAAAGAAACCAGTAATGTGCATTTTCAAATATTTTGTCTCTTATGAGACCTTAAAATAGAAAATTTGGACTTGTAACATTTGCAAAGATTCCATGGGAGTTTCTAGATAGGGCCTGCCTATGAATTTGAATTTATGAATAGTCTCTCTCATGAGCGACAATCCCATTCTGTTGCTCTAGTGGTTGGGTTTTTTTCATCAAAGGGTTTGCAGAAAAGGTGGCCAAAGAGTAAAAGGAAAAAATAGCACATGAGAAATTAAGGAAAAATGTGATTCTGGCCCTATTTCACAAATTTCATTTCTGTCATTAGTATTTTCCGTATATAAAGTAGTATTCTGTCTTAAATGACCTTGTTGCCTTAGAAACAAAACATAGATGCTTCTCAGGAGGAAGCCACCTCAGCCTCTCCCATACACGAGGGTCAAGAGTGGTATTCATAAGAAGAACATCTCATCAGTGTCTAAAATCAATTAGAACTATCACATGCAAGTATCTGAGAAGCCATATCCCTAGGACCAAACTGGCAATGTCCCTAACGAGAGAGCACAGTGCCCCTTCTCAGTAAAAACTGAGGGCGTAAGAACCCTACGCCCCCTTCCAAGGGCTGGTGTGGTGGTTCAAGTGGCAATCCCATCTGGCCATAGAATGGGCCCTCCAATAACGAGAAAGAATGTTTCAAGACTGGCAGGCCTCTCAAATCACAGAGAACAAGTAACCAAAATTAGTTGTGAACAAATAAACACAGTAGAATGCTGGATGTGCCAGGCCCACATTAGGTAATTTTTGCCATTTCTTTTTCTTTTTTTCTTTTTTTTGTGGTACGTGGGTCTCTCACTGTTGTGGCCTCTCCCGTTGCGGAGCACAGGCTCCGGACGCGCAGGCTCAGCGGCCATGGCTCACGGACCCAGCCGCTCCGCGGCATGTGGGATCTTCCCAGACCGGGGCACGAACCCGTGTCCCCTGCATCGGCAGGCAGATTCTCAACCACTGCGCCGCCAGGGAAGCCCTTTGCCATTTCTTGATGTCCTTCTGAGGTTATTTCTGAAGGGTGTTTTCTTCTCAAATCTCATCCAAATCTACTCTTTCCAAGACCCTCTTTGTGCTCTGGGAGGAGGGACTGCTCACTGTGGCCTGAGCAGGAAATAGCTTGTGACACGTTGAAGCATCCTAGCATGAGAGCTTCGGTGCTAGGGCCAAAAGGGCATTAGGAATTATCCCTGACGTATTTCTCCAAGGCAAAGCAGCACGTGTTAATCCTCAAACAATTTCAAAATACTGTGATATTTATGTTATATAGTAATTTATCTTAATAGACGTATTGCCTCCCTTCTTCTAACTTCTTCCATTGTTCTACTCTAGGACGCTCATACATTTTCTGCAGGGCTTTTCCCCCCTAAGTGTTTTCTTCTTGTGCTACACTCAAGTGTAAGAAACTCAAAGTCCTCTTACTTTATGTTCAGTTTAGTTTCTGAGATGTTAAGAAAACTCATAGAGAAATAGCTCCAGTCTGGTCCAGTTTAATAAATGGATATGGTCAGGGTAAATAAGCTCCAGTGAATCAAACATCCAGCCCATATCCAAAATAAACAACAGACCTAGTATTAGTGAATAAGTGAAACTTAACGTTTTAAAGGAAGTAAATGAGGGCAAATGAAGCACTTAGCCTACTCCAAAGCTCTGCACTGCACATGATCCTTGGACACCCTACTCCTCCTTACCTAGCTCTGTCATACTTCCATCCCATTTTTTGAGGTTCCCAAGCATGGCAGATAATTTTTTTTAGTAGTTGGTGTTCTTATAAAGAAATTAAGTAAATGAGAGCTAAATGTACAGATCCTGAAATTAAAATTGTAAACCTAGTAAACATCCCCACACATCATCCTGTTTTCTTCAAAATGCTCTATGAAAAGAGGTTAGTTTTTAAAACAGGGATGGCTGTCAACCTTTGACATAGCTGTTAGGAATGCGTATGTATTTT